TGTTGCACAGTTTCTACATGTGACTGTAAGCGGTTAGTACCCCTGTCAAACTGGCTTCGAGCCGGAACGGGCAAACTATGACATCACCCTAGTATCTTCAAAGTACAAATTTACCTGTTCATTTTGATTTCGATCCAGCAGGGACACTCGCTTATAGTTTTCCTGCTGTAATCCGGTCCCCAACCTTTGACGAAAGAAATTCGCGCGACGCAAAATCGCTTCATGTCGTCAGCACCTTTCTTGGCTTCCTAAACTAGGCAAACTTCTACTTATAAGGTATATTCTGATAGTGCAGTAATATTTTTGTCCACCTGCTACAACTCAGAATTTTTGCACTATCACTGCTTCATCTTCCACAAAGACTATCTGTATTTGAATAGCGTAGGCGAAAGAGCTCCATGCAAACGAAAACCGCTTCACTTCTTTATATTGCACCAGGTGGAAAAAGTATAACGGCGTTCAAGTACTACGAAAAATGATGATGACCGACAATGTACAGGCAACATCACAACTGTGTCAACACGCCAGCTAAACTTACACAGGCTGTGTATTCCGCCACAAGTGACCTCATGCCGACGTCAGTATTCTGAGATACCAAAATAGAAAATAGCGCATCATTTGTTATGCAGTGGTTTTGTTAAGTATTGTCATGCGCGAAGATTTGATCATTGAACGAAAAAGCGAAAAACGAGATGAAGTGGAAGCTGACAAGGACTTCATGAATTCTCTCCATGTACTTCTCCCTCCCAAACAATCCCGTTTGTTATCAAGATATCGTGACCACTACTTGTACGTCAACGTAGATACACATACTTCATGAAGCTGGTAGGAGAGTCTACACCAGGAAGCTGCTGATAAGGACGACGAGCTTTTCGAGAAAAAAAGTACCATGTAAAGACTATCAACTAACAAACATCCAGACAAAGAGAAATGATCTGTTAAGGTGCTGGATCCTGCAATGTTTCCCTCGAGTTTAGGTGTGTAATCAATAGCCAAGATACAGTCTACAGAAAAGCATCTATCTGGAAAGTGTGCCTCGCTTTAGAATAAACTTTATCATTGCCCTCACTTAGTACTTTGCAAGTGAAATGAGAGGTAAGGTCTTCCTTCCCGACAATTTTAGTTGAGCCGTGATTTCTATGAGCGCAAAACAATCTGGCAGAATAGTTGCATAAGGTGCTTTCTTCAATACCGACAATGGCGCACCATCAAGCAATCAGGGAAGCTGCACAGATAATAGGAACACTGTGTAACTAGCGATAACAAAAATTTGGAAGTAATGCCGAGAAAAACCTATGTGGAACGGCGCTATTGCTTCGAAGACAACAAGGATTGAAGTAAATAATGACACCAAATTCCCCTTCCCACAAGTTAAAATAAAGATTTGAGAAGGACTAATACCAAAAAATGCTGATATGGAATTAGGTTGAAGCTTAGAACTATGCGTTCCTCAGCTAGATTCCATAAATGCACATGCATACAGATATGTATAAAGTCACATGAAAAACGGTGGAAGGTGTGAAATTCCAGCAAAGCGGTGCAAATGAAGCTTATATAATGCTTACCTCGTCAAGTTTATCTTTTTTATACATCCTGAATAAATCGTCCATAGGAGTCTTCTGACCAGCTAAGTACTCCTTAGCCATTTGACAGGCGACCATATGCTGTCGGAGAATGGCTTTTGCATTATTTAAGTCGAAAATCTGAAACATTATGGCAGGATCCCTCATCACAAGCACATTCTGATATCTAGCAGTTTTATATAGATGCCGAAATTGTAAAATACCAAACAACAACTTCTCCCTCGAACATCTTTTGATGTACTAACGACCTTCTGAAGGCAATCTAATCGCATACTGATATGACCGATGATTTTGCTATTCTAGAGTCAAGCTATCCTTCCTTCTCCTTTGAGAGTATAAATGTGCTGATAAGTTCTCATTACCTTGATTTTTGCTCCTGGATACACTTTATGTACAACATCACCGGTACTCCTCCCCGATTCTCTGTCTAGATAGTGAGAATGGACAAATATGGCACGCCCCGTATAAACTTGAACCCATACATCACCATTTTCTTTGAAAGACAGACGTATGCCATCTCCGATGGTTTGCCTAAAAATCAAAAAGTCCTATTAGAAATATAACGACTGTATCACTTAATCAGATAGCCCAGAAATTACCTGACAAGATGGCAATCCTGTTCCCGTAGTGGATTGTTTTCTCGCCCCAAACAGTACCGGTTCGAAGCTTGGCCAAATCCACCATCTATGTACATATCGCTGTGTTTCACCTAGAACGGCACACCTCAAAATTATGTTCGAAATTAGATGGCGATTTTCTTACTTGCAACCGTCCAATCTGCACTTCTCTTTCATAGTACACAAAACATCCCCAGTTGGAGTCCACTAAATGGAATATTTGCAGTACAAGTTATGTGAGGTGACAATCGTCAAACATGAGTTTTCATGGTTACAGGCCATTTAAAAACGTATACGACGAATGCTTGTTGCATAAAATAGCTACATACTCAGATCCGCCGCTGGATCTGCACAGCTCTTCGACAAGAATGTAGAGGATGAAAAAGGGAAAAGCAGAAGTCAGAAGACAATTTTGATGATTTATTTGTGAAGTACAGATAGTTAATGTGATATTTTACCTAGCTTATGTAAACATAAACTTTGCCATAAACAAATCAGCAAGAAATGTCTACTGAAGGAAAGCCTAGCCTAGATATGAGGACATGATATACGTCAAGACCTTATACTCAAATTCACAAGATTATAATGAAGTGCTTACCCGGACAAGATGGCGGCTCGAAACTGTTAACTTTCAGCTTGTTTCCGAGAACAAACTCCGCATTTACTGAAATGGCTAGATATGAAACAGCATTTCGCCCAGACTGAATACTCTTGATAATGGGGAAAAAA